AACGATCGTGATCGTGTGCATTGTGTCGTGCACCAGAAAGCATTATTCTACGTCACGATGCACGTGATTTCTTCATTCCTCTTGCAGTTAAATCCAATAACTACAACCAAAAATTCAGTCACTTTTGCATCAACTGTTGCACCGAAAAATGTTGGTGGCGCAAGGAGAAGCTTGTCGTTTGGAGTGACAAGTGATCACCGCTGCCGTTCTTTGTCAGAGTCAACAATACACTTTGCTCTGCAGCGTTGGAAGTGGTGTTGAAGTGGAAATTGCTGACTAGACGTCGCGGAGGGGCGAGCTTTCCTGCGCAGGTATGAGTTTGGAAGTATTTCAGAATGGTCGAGTGGTAAAATTATAAATTGTTTATTTCAAGAAAACCCGAAAAGGATGGGGGACATGTACTCAGTGCTAGAAGAGGTGTTCTACTATCTGCCGGTTTATAGTGTTTGCTAATTGAGGACGTAGCTCGCTGGTTCATCAGCGCTTGTAATTTGGCTATTTTCAAGAGGATCATTTGTGGCGTCTCGGAATAATTGCCCTAGTCTTCTGGGATGCTGGCGTGGCTAAGTGGTGCTGCTTAAGAGAGCATGTCTGAGAAAACCAGAACATATGTGCAAGTCGATCTCTCAGATTTCGCTTCAATTTTGCAGGTAGGTTTGCTTTGGGGTGTAGATCGACATTCCAAAGCCCGCACAAAATCTTTTGAAGGGAACCATGAAATTGGCATACCCCTCAATATTGGCCCAATATTGGCACGATTTATGGGTCTACAAACGAGCCACGGCACAGCGTACAAGAACAAGCTACGAACAAAACTCCATCAAGCCAACATTACCTTACCTAAGGAGAGTTCTTGGGGCAGCACCACTTAGCCACGCCAGCATCCCAGAAGACGAGGGCAATCATCCCTTGACGCCACAAATGATCGTCTTGAAATTAGCCAAATTACAAGCGCTGATAAAACAGCGAGCTACGTCCTCAATTAGCAAACACTATACACCGGCAGATAGTAGAACACCTCTTCTAGCACTGGGGACATGTCCCCCATCATCCTTTTTGGGTTTTCTTGAAATAAACAATTTTGAATATTTCCACTCGACCATTCTGAAATACGTCCAAACTCATACCTGCGCAGGAAAGCTCACCCCTCCGCGACGTCTAGTCAGCAATTTCTACTCCAACACCACTCCAAACGCTGCAGAACAAAGTGTATTGTTGACTCTGACAAGGAAAAGCAGCGGTGATCACTTGTCACTCCAAACGACAAGCTTCTCCTTGCGCCACCAACATTTTTCAGTGCAACAGTTGATGCAAAAGTGACTGAATTTTTGCGTGTAGTTTTTGGATTTTACTGCAAGAGGAATGAAGAAATCACGTGGATCGTGACGTAGAATAATGCTTTCTGGTGCACGAAACAATGCACACGATCACGATCGTTCCTGAGGCGCTATTCGAAACGGACCATGAGGGAGGAGGTAAGATGCATTATATGTCTTGCATGCTCTGCTCAGAACATGCAGAAACTATCGTTATAGCGCTAGCATTATTGCATTGGCAAGAATTCTTTGAGATATTTCCTCTTGCAGTACGAACAGGGATGCATTTTTTCACACTAACCTCGCTCATCCCGAACATGGTTCAACAGGAACTACGGCTAGTTTACATGCTGATGATCCACGTAGATCTGCAACAGCATGGAATGAGCCGTTGTCCATGCCATCAAGGTCGCTTGGAGTTAACCAGCGCGCGGCGCAGCCTACACTGGTTACTAGTACATGGGGTATGTGGCGCGCCCACATGGCAGATTTCTTACGTCATGAACAACGTGATTTGACACTATTCGCCCTAGTCTCTGTGCTGCATGGGGAGGGAAAGTCCCGGCTGGAAGGCCTACAACACGACATGCGTGCTCTTGAGCTGGACATCAAGATGCACTTGATCCGATCCAGATCAACGGATGATCCATGTAAGTGCAGGTGCGCTTGATCAAGGTGACTCGGAACAACTGCTGAACCGTGATCTACGAGAGCTGGCATTCTTGTGTCGCGAGGCACGTGATTTCATCATTCCTCTTGCAGTAAAATCCAAAAACTACACGCAAAAATTCAGTCACTTTTGCATCAACTGTTGCACCGAATTATGTTGGTGGCGCAAGGAGAAGCTTGTCGTTTGGAATGACAAGTGATCACCGCTGCTTTTCCTTGTCAGAGTCAACAATACACTTTGTTCTGCAGCGTTGGGAGTGGTGTTGGAGTAGAATTTGCTGACTAGACGTCGCGGAGGGGTGAGCTTTCCTGCGCAGGTATGAGTTTGGACGTATTTCAGAATGGTCGAGTGGAAATATTCAAAATTGTTTATTTCAAGAAAACCCAAAAAGGATGATGGGGGACATGTCCTCAGTGCTAGAAGAGGTGTTCTACTATCTGCCGGTGTATAGTGTTTGCTAATTGAGGACGTAGCTCGCTGTTTTATCAGCGCTTGTAATTTGGCTAATTTCAAGACGATCATTTGTGGCGTCAAGGGATGATTGCCCTCGTCTACTGGGATGCTGGCATGGCTAAGTGGTGCTGCCCCAAGAACTCTTCTAAGGTGAGGTAATGTTGGCATGATGGAGGTTTGTTCGTAGCTTTTTCTTGTACGCTGTGCCGTGGCTCGTTTGTAGACCCATAAATCGTGCCAATATTGGGCCAATATTGAGGGGTATGCCAATTTCATGGTTCCCTTCAAAAGATTTTGTGCGGGCTTTGGAATGTCGATCTACACCCCAAAGCAAACCTACCTGCAAAATTTGAGCGAAATCTGAGAGACCGACTTGCACATATGTTCTGGTTTTCTCAGACATGCTCCCTTAAGAATTATTCTAAGGTGAGGTAAGGTTGGCTCGATGGAGTTTTGTTCGTAGCTTGTTCTTGTACGCTGTGCCGTGGCTCGTTTGTAGATCCATATATCGTGCCAATATTGGGCCAATATTGAGGGGTATGCCAATTTCATGGTTCCCTTCAAAAGATTTTGCGTGGGCTTTGGAATGTCGATGTACACTCCAAAGCAACCCTACCTGAAAATTTTGAGCGAAATCTGAGAGATCGACTTGAACATAAGTTATGGTTTTCTCAGACTTGCTCTCTTTAAAACATTTATACCTTGCTGTAGAAAGTAATCTGTTTCCGCCATGGAGGCCTCATCAGGGCAGCTACGAACTTTAAGTAGGGAGAACTCACATACATAGTGCCAAGGATACACCACATACATTAAAATAGGTCGTCGCCCTAGCGCCAGAGGGCTTTAACGACGAACAGGAGTAGGCAATGCGGAATGCCGCAACACTAGAGCAGCCTCCCTAGATTGCTCAACAAGACAAATGTCGAGAACCGTAATACCCACACTAAACGTTCAATCACATTTTTTTGCCTCTGGTTGTACGTTCTCGAAACTAACCGTGGTTGGTCTTATGGGGAAGGGGAACGACCATCAGTATGTGGGGACTGTGTTGTGAGCTAACCTGTTAGCGCCTTGTACATGTGTATTCAGCCTGGTCTCACAGGCCATATGGTTTTGTCATTGCTCGTGACAAGCAATGTCCCGGGTTCGAGTCCTGGTGCGTCTTGCATTCTATTCTCTTTTCAGGCCGGTCTGGTCCCTGACTAACCCATGAATGTTTGAAGTTCAGCTATAATTTAGACGTTCTTGTCTATTCTGGAACAAGAGAAGTTCCCATGCATCCACGCGATTAACGCGTCCAGCCCAGAAGTCACTTCACATCAGATATGAAACCTTTTCGTTCCTTTCTCTTCAGGATTATACAGGGAATGGCTGAAATAAAATTAAAAATGACTAAAACTTACAGGGCAAAATATGTACTGGGATACAGCAATCTGCACAAGGTAGAAATTTATCGAGTCAGTACCGTTGGACCTTGTCGTGCACTGTTATCGTGTGAGCTGATTGTAAAGTTGCGGTTGGTGGATAATAATTATAGTGTAACTTGGAGCACTTTGGTCCTTTTTTCGTCTTATAAATATATCCTCGAATTCGAGCCTAATTTAGAGAAAGGAAGGAAACATAATGTTTACGAGTTCACAGTAACTGTCCAACGCTGTAACTGTATGATACAAGTTAGTATAATTTTAGTCAGAAAGTGCAACAAATGGGAACACAACTGACAGAATACTGAGACATTCGACGAACTTACACCTTTTTTTCTTTTCTTTTTTTCCCAAAACAACAAATAACTCCAAAGCACGAAAAATGGCCAAAAACTCAACCAAGAACATTTGCAATAACATGTTGTTTAGAAAGACAGGGCAAGTGAATAATTAGTTGGTCCATTGTTCTTGATGGTTTCCGACGGTTACGTCGGAAGCGAGCCTCCGCCGCTGCCAAAGCAGTGTGCGCTCCGCAGTAGGGTGCAAATTTCAAACTAAAATGTATACGCTTACAACCGCGAATGCACATGATACATGATTTCAGAAGGCCGAAGGAAATCCTGCATCTAACAAATGCCATAACATGAGAGTAGTGCTCTAGTAACTTTACCTTTTAGCTTCGGAGATTTAATCTCCGAAGCGCTACCTAACAGCCGTCCAACTTGGAAGGTTCTAGAATCTCTCTGCACTTTGTCAGTTATGTGCCCAGTTGTTGCCCTTTCTGGCTTTATATAATAATTATGGTATTCAGCGGTGGACAGTTACTGTTAAATCATGTTACTTCCCTTTCTCTGAATAGTATTATTGGCTTAAAATCCGAGTTTAATATAACATTATACAATATTTTTTAAAGATGGGATGCCTCGAGTGGGATGCCTCGAGTGGGGTATTTGAGTGAGAATTTATTTTTAAATATCAGGTCAAAATAAGGCCAAGTTTTGTTGTAAATCAAGTATGTTTTGAGGGTGCTAGATAAGTTGTACAAAAACTATGAAATTTGTTTACACTTGTGTCTACCTTTGCAGACCCCCTTTCAAGTTGAACCGTACTTGTAATGTTATTGTGTTCCTGTGCTAGATTCAAACGGAGCAATAATCACGGCGGCGACAAAACCCTCGCCAGTTCCGATTGAAACCCAAGCTGCTGTTTCGCCAACGACTGCACGACTGCTATCAGCGACAAGCAGCATGAAGAACACAGCTCCAAACGGTATCTGTACTAATATTCTAAATGTTTTTTTTAATAAAAATAAAATTAAGTAAAACTATCGTGTCAGTTCCCGAAGGGAACTCTCGACCACCGCCAACACCCAGTTAACCCAAACCCTGTCAATGTTGGGATCGCTGTTGGTGTTAGTTGTCTGCTTTTGACGTCGAACGTATTTTTGTCACAGTAAATTTTTATTATGATGAAGAAAGGAAAAGGACAAAATGTTACGAGTTATGACAAACTGTCCACCAACGTAACCAGATCTTATACAGTCAACGAGTGCGAAAAATGGCACAAAACTGACAAGGAACACTGAAACATTCGGCGACCTGACACCTAGCTCCAACACTTCTCCAAGGCGCAAACCAACAACCTTCCAACTAACGTTCGACACTCTTTGTTGCCGTGGCGCGTAGCTCGTGCTCTTCTTCGTTGCGCTTTCCTTCCCCTCTTTGACCTTTCCGAGCCGGTGCCTTCCAAGTTGGGAGGTTGATCGTTAGCGCCTTGGAGAAGTGTTGGAGCTAGGTGTCAGGTCGCCGAATGTCTCAGTACTCCTTGTCAATTTTGTGCCATTTTGTCGCACTCGCTGACTGTATAAGATAAGATCTTTTTACGTTGGTGGACAGTTTGTCATAACTCGTAACATTTTGTCCTTTTCCTTTCTTCATCATAATAACCTTAATCAGGCCAATATTCCCAAAAGGGAACATATCTTTCCGCATGCGATTTGGTCAAGGGAAATTCATTTTTCTTCCGCATTTTCGGTTTATATACATATCTAGAAGGCTGATGATCATGAATCTTGGAATATTTGTCAGGCTTTTGAAATTTTCGAGTATCGGGATATAATGCGAAATGTCGTGAATTTACGGTATTCGGCCGTACTTCAGAAATTGAGAATTCTGGTGTGAAAAACAGTCTTTATCAGACTAATCCACAAGTAAGAAGTGCACTCTGCTACTATGGCCACCCAACTGGCCTGAAGATTCACCGAAAATTTGGTCATAGCACATAGAAACCCGCCGTCTTTCTTCGATGTTCCCAAAAGGGAACATTGGCCTGATCCGAGACTCAGATATACCTGATTTTCACCAGATTTCAGGAACCAGCATATCTAGCGCATAGGACTTGTTTGTTATATCCGTAAACGTGAATATATAACTGATGGAGCGTTTTTGATGTTTTGATGGTGATTGGACCGTCTCCATGGTAACCAAATGTGGTCATATATTTGTGATTCACTAGCATGCGGAATACATCAATGCGTTGCGAGCCTTTAATTTGCCAAAGTAAAGATTGCTTAACAGTCTCCAAAGGGATATACTTCTGAAGTAGGTTTTCTTTTGTGTAACAAGATTCACTTGAACAATATTCAGCAAAGTATGGATGCTTTATGCCGTTCTCCTGGACTTTCGAAGATTTTTTCCTCAGCGCGGTTGCATTTTTGTCAGAAAATATCGCTTTAGCTGTAATGTGGTACGGCAGAGGGAAAGGTTTACAGTAGCAGAGTCCTTTCGGGAAAGGGACTCAAAAGTGATTTCAATGGAAGCTAACGACTTTGTTGAGAACTCCAACACACTTCAGGACCTAGTTATAGCGCCACCGATTACTGGCAATCTGACCGTAAGCGCTATAGGGGTAAGGCATCCTGCAGCAAAAAGAAGTGGTGAGCACACTTGCTCCTTCCCTGAGCACTGCACATTCACAACTCAGTTCACTACATGGGGCTTATGATTCAGTGATTCTGATGCAGTGAATTTCCTGTGCCCAGGGAAAGAGCATGTGTGCTCACCATTCTCGTTGATATGAACATGGACGATGAACTAGAGTAGTAATCAGATGATTCAACGGATGATAAGAGTTTCATCGAACTTGCAAGATATATGGACCTAGGCAACTACCAGGTGACGAATGGAGAGGATGATGATTTTGGTGCCTGTCCTGTTGATAGTGAGTACGACGGCAAAAAAAAACGCAAACCCACTGGAGCAACGCGTTGGGTGAAATAGACTGGTGTTTACAATAGGCGTCCTGAAATTGAACTGGACAAATCCCTTCACGATCACCACGAGATCACTACAGCATCACCCACTTGCCAATCGCGAGATATACACACCCTGTACATCTCTAAACACTATTTGACGAGTAAGTACCGCTCGATACCCGCGATACGGACAAGGCCCACATTAGCTCGGAGACCGACAATCTTGAGAGATTCAGTGTAATTCTTTATGTCTGGCTCCACAGTCTTACAACTGATCTGAGAGTGCCAATTTTTCAAGCAGCGACGAGCCCCAAGCCGACGTCCTACATCCAGTTTCATCCCGAGATCGCCGTCCTATTTTATTATAGCCGACCCCGCCCAGAAGCACCAGTGTCTTGCTGTTGATGTGCAATATAAGGGCGTTTGACAACACAGAATGTGAACAACACAATGTCGTTGTAAATGGTGCAGACAAACCACGATATGTTACTGTTCTAAGTGTGGAGTTCGACTGCATTTCGATCGTTGATCGAATACCACGGTGTATACGAGACGCGAACGGTAGCAGCCGAAAACACTAAGAAACATTGCTGGACACTCCTTGACGACTATTACATATGTTTTCTTCTCCATTACTGCTTGTTCATGTTTGCATTGCTCCACAAACACTTAGGCAACACAAGGCAACATAATCCATTTTATCATATTGCATCTTCCCTTCATAAAAACCAGGGTCTTTTTGGTACGCGATCCGGCCAACGTTCCCTTTTGGGAACATATAAATATTTCCATAACGCATGGACATATTCAGTTCAAACTTATAAACATGCTTAATTGGTCCAATACAAGCCGAAACAAAAGAAAAAAAACTGCAAGAATACGCTGAATTCTTGTGACGGCCAAATTAAGGTAATATTGGCTCACCGTCCGAGTTAAAGTTTGATTGTTTTGGATTCGCCGAACAAAACCGACCAACTGTAAATCAAACAAAACAGGAACCCCTTCGACAGGCGAAAAGCCTTTGGGGAATCCTTCAATAAATAAATAAATAAATATTCGAACTTAGAAAGTTGCGACTTCGGCGGTAATAGTCATGAAGTTGGTTGCTTCAACTAGGAACACACGCTTCTTGCCAAACTTGACACTTGACTGACTCACGACTGCCGTCCGGGGAACATGAAGAGAACGTCGCACCTTCTCTCGGCAAACCTGCGAGAAAACACCACTCCCTGCTCCATACACAGTGTTTCGGAAAACTAACCCCTCATCAGGTGAGCTTGAGTAGTCTGAGGAAGACGGTGCCTGAAAAGCACAACTTATATCCTGCTCTCCATGCCAAACCATCCCCATGGGTACAGACTTACAGGGACACTTCGTATCCAAAACACTTCGTGAAGCTCCTGGTAGCAGCTTGAGTCAGAGTCTCTCTTGGAGTTGTGCTCAACATACGTTGAGAGCCAGTAGCTAGTCACAACGCTGTCACCTCCAACAACTAGTCACACGCCCGCGTGCGGGAGAACAATACGAACTTAGAAGTTGCTTCTTCCGCGGTAATAGTCATGAAGTTGGTTGTTCCAACTAGGAACATACGCTTCTTGCCGAACTTGACACTTAACTGACTCACGACTGCCCTCTGGAGCACACGAGGAGAACGTCGCACCTCCCACTTGGCAAACCTGCAAGAGAGCACCACTCCCTGATCAATACACAGCGTTTAGGGGAATTCACCCCTCATGAGTTCAGCTTGAGTAGGCCGAGGAAGGGTGGGCCTGAAAAGTACCGCTTATATACTGCTATCCAGGGCAAAAACATCACCAGGGATACAAACTCACAGAGACGATTTGTTTCCAGCACGACAAACACTTCGTGAAGCCCCAGGTAGAGGCGTGAGTCAGAGTCCTTCATGGAGTCGTGACATTTAGAGCCAGTAGCTATTCACAACGCCGTCACCTCCAACAACTAGTCAATGTTCGCCCGAGGAACATCAATACGAACTTAGAAGGCACTACGCTTAATTCATTGTACAGATACATATGCGGACGCCCTTTTGCAACTCTAGTAATAAATAACGCACAATATCTGACATTATATCCCACTGTGTAGGCGACGATTCCCTTGCCGCGATGTTCTTATCTACCTGCTCTTTGCCTGTACATCATCTGAGGAGAAGTTTAAGTACCTGACGTGTGTTCTCATTCGTATTGGTCTACCATTTTTGTCTTGGAGGAGGCTTTCCACAATACTCACGTTCTCTTTTCCCTACCAGTAGTTGTAATGTATAGTTTTGTGTTATAAATTGCAATGTATTGTATTGTATACTGTAAAGCCGGAAAGTTTAACGACGAAAATGTTTAACGTTTTTGTGATTTAGGCATGATAAAGTTCAGAAAGTTTAGCGATTGCTACCAGGCCACCCAACTGTATGCGCATCTTTACACAAACATCTCAAGATAACGTTTCATCAAAATAATAACGAAAAAGAATTGGTTGTTAAAACGTTACACTTTGTGACTTCTTAGACTTTCCGGTCTTACAGTAAGTTAACTCGTATTTTATTTTAACTGGTTTGAGGGAAAGAGGAAAACGGGAAAAGTCTGAAGAAAAAACCACTGTCACCACCAGCATTTGTATTGTATTTTACAGAAGAACCTTGACTACCGGTCACAGTGCTCGATACACAGCGTGCAGAGCCTAGTACACACGAAAATCCGGTGGGACAAAAAAGTGATTAATTGTCTCTACTCACGAGTTTCATCGGCTGAAAAGCAATCATCAGGAGACTGGGGCTATAGTCGGGGTTGTGTGGTCTTATTCACTATAGGTGTCGTCCCATATACATGTATTGTTATTTAATATCTTGTATATTTACTTGGGCATTCCCAACAGACCCTAAGGTCTTCTTACAGGGTGCCCAAACTTAAATTGGGCATACCTGACACGCCCTGAGGTTGCAGTACACTGACGTATGCTACAATAAATAAAATGGAAAAACATTTTGTCTCTCCTGCCTAGTACTGTAAGAACGAGGCGCTCCCTGTCTGCACTCAATAATATTTTTCTTGACTTTCGGGACTCTACAGACTGGGTCTTTCGCGGTAATATATTCTACCTCCCTAGCTTGATGTTGGTGAAATATTTGGTTTATGGGTATGCAGTTATCCAGACACCAGGCGATATTGTATTCACTTTACACTTTCGGCTACATTGTATATTCAAAAAATGCCGGGCTGAATGCATATGTACGTGACTATGAAATGATCTGGTGCCAGCTTGCCACTTTGTTTCTTATCTTGATTTGACATGCAGTGGTGTCTTCTTCTCACATTGCTTCAGCCACCATATCGCCGTCTCAAAGCGTCCATGCATCGACAGTGACCCCGCTTTCATCCGTGGCTTCCACATCCTTTGCGTCAACCAAAACGTCACCATCCGAAGGAATTACGACAGATGAAGGCCCTTTATTGACCTCTGTCTCACTAGTTACCTCTTCATCAACACCTTCAGCCACAATATTGACATCGGAACTGGTCCAAGTGGTTGATTCTGGAATGTCGAATACGCCTTCACTCCCATCAAGCCAAGACACTACTATTCTAATCGACACAGAAGTGACCACTTCTAGGGGTAAGAGAGTATAATGATCATGTCGTCATTGACTCCTTACAAAGGCACCGAAATTGGACCTGTACAATTACAGATCTAGCAGGTGAAATGTGTCCCATATTTCACATTTGACGCCCTCGATTTGCAAGGCCATATACAATTGTAGGCTCTGGAAGTGGCACGAATGCTGCCCGACGTTAATAGAGTGGTGTGATTGGAATTTGTTCTGGGTACAGGTTTTGTACAATAGTTTTGCTCATTCAACAAAATAAACAAAGCCTGTTTCACATAGCTGCATCTGCGCCTGGATCTTTGAAGGGTGGCGACGTTCCTACAGATGCGGAAATCTCTGCCTTTAACCGAGTCTCACGCGACTTGTGATTTTCTTAATCTCTCTGTTTTCCAGATCCACCTCCAGCCTCATCCAGTCACGCACAAAGGCCACAAACCACTGATGTGAATGACGCAGTAGCTGTGGAGTCACCAGCACGCAGTACTCCAACACAGTCGAGAATCACAGTCGGGGCTGCAACTACCCACCGTTTCAGGCCCACGGCACAGAGCTATACTTGGATGATTGGATCGGGTGTAGGAGCTTTACTATTGCTCGGGATCATATTGTCAGTGCTGTTATATTGTAAGGTAAAGCACACTTCATCAGCACTCCGTGTTCCCAGCGACTCGTCCGGTGGCGAGCCTGGCCCCATTGAAGCACGTACCCTAGCGTGCGAAAACCCACAGTATGGTGTGGCAGAGGATATACCAGTAAGGTTTAACGTGAGCAGCAGCCAAAGCGGGTACTCAGATGTAGATGTGCAGTATGTGGATGGGAATCAGGTCTTATCGGAAGACACTACCTATGACACAATGATAAAGAGCTACACGCTACATGGTGGGAAGAGCGATGCGAAGGCGAAGCCCTCTACTCAACTTGCGCCAGGAGGTGAACAACAACAGCTGGAGAATGGTGTTGGCGAACAACCGCAGTATGATCGACTGGACATTACCCTTCGCAGAGACAGTTATGCGGAGGTTGTGCCACGGAATTTGCGCACACCGTCTACAAACATAACTGCCACAGCAGAAAAAGCGGAATCGGACAAAGAGCCTGTAAGGAGCCCACCGAAGCTTGGTGATGAACCGTACTATGCAAGAGGAGAATATGAGACCCCCAATTTGTGATGGATCATAGCAAAATCAGAAAGAATGACAGACCCACCTGACGAGATAATTTTTACTTGAGTATAACAATTGCAATTCACATGTCCCAACTATCAATCTAATGCTCATTTTCTCTAGCTCTGTATTGAATACAGCACTTCTTTTAAGCTACCAGTTCCCTCGAAGCAAACAGGAAATGTTATCCAATGTTATGCAGATCACAGCATCAGGTTGAGTCAGCCGCAAAGGGGATGTGATATAAACCTCCTTTTCTTATCAGGAACGTCACGTCCCCCAACCATTCTCCCACGCAAAGTGTAGAGCATAGCTGGGTGGTTAGCATTTCGCAGTAAGTTCGTTCAATCAACTGTATACCGGTAAATATTACACCTGTTGTGTATGGTAACATATTGCCCCACGTTGTAACCACCAGCCTATGTATTTCCAGCATTCAATGATTATTGAGGATAGCACTCCATTATACTTTGAAGTATTACATTGTGTTGTTCATCAGTCTGGCTAATGCAGTACATTGATATTAATTTTGTTTTCCCTACTCGAGTCCTTTGCTAGGGGGAGTGCAACGAACCCCATCAGATAACGTCATGCACCACCTTTACATCTACTACAACCTTTTGTAATATTCTCGTTTTTTCTCTATTTTTGTCTGATCCTCACTTTGCTAAACATACAAAACCAGTATAAAAAATCGGTATGCACGTCTGTACGTTTTCTGATTGTATTTGGTACCAGATTTCGCAACATATCTTTCCCACATCATCTCTTGTTTTTCATCATGAAAGACATTCTTTTGCATAGAGAAGATGTGGATTACGGTTTCACCCTATCAACGAAACCAGCGTCAGGGTTGCATGGACTCCGGCCTGGGTTTAGAATAGGATCTGCTTCGCATTTCTTCACTGTTCCTTTGCTTTTCAACCATATTCACATTATCATTATAATAATAAACATGATCACATATCACGTTTGCAGTATGAACGTGATAGTCTTGTGGGATGTCACAAACCTAATATGACCCGCTCTATGCGGAGGCTCCCATGTAATCCTGTCTCAATCTCCTTCTTCACCACCACCTTATACTTAAATCGTCATACATATCTCTCCATACGTTTGCCCTTCAATCTCTTCAAGAAGTACGCTTCTTTTAAAGTTATACTCCCTGATGAAGCCCCAAGGTATTTGGGGAGATATTAGCGACGATTGCAGTGTAAGACTGTGGTGATGAAGAATGAGAATGAGACATATGTATAAGACGAGCACATTTAATTGAATGGTCCACACATTTTGTGAATTCATAAGACGTGGCCCCGTGATTCCCCTTGGCTGGGCATATCACTTGCTGTGGTTACTTACAGCTCCGGTACTCACAGCATCAAATTCGCATGAAAACTAACAATAATTATTAAAATGCATTCGAACACCTTATTTTCAAGGCCAGCTTGAAATCTACGCAGGGTTCAAATGACGAATTAATAACAGTAACCTGGCCGGCCTAGTACTGTAGTAGACCTGACACAGCAACAACGTTGTTTTATTGAAGGCGTCACATTGTTGTTATGAATGCAGGAGAGCATAGGAATCAAAAACTGAACAGCAAAATTTATTGCTTAGTCAATTTACTATTCAATCTTTGAAAATATAGTATAATCGCGCGATTAGTGTCCCTGGAGCTCTGTCTCTTCAGGGTCCATCACAGATGGGCCACTGATAAACTATTCAACTGAGGAAACTATTCAACAGAGGGCTACATTTTTTCAAATGCATGTAAATTTACGTCATCCAGCATAAAAAACAAAGAAGGAAAAGAAAAACAGAGCCTAAAGTGTACAGTAAACTACCACGACTCGACAGAACGAGCAATAACCTGCCAACAAGAGGTGCCATTTTTGATCCTGAAACCACCAGTGGGATGACATGGACAAAAAAATTACCAAAAGACTAGCAAACTAACTGTTACTTGCACGTGCGCTTGGTTATGAGCGGGGGGGGGGGGGGAAAGAGGCATTATTCAAGAGAGGGATTTATTGTTTCAATGGCCCTCAGACACTGGGGTACTGCTCTATTCGAGATAGGGTAGACCTAGCTACTGTTCAAGTGAGGGCTCTAATCGCGCAAGTACGGTAACTGCTTCAGCACTACCGTAAAGTTCAAACATGTAGATCTACATGATTGTATTTCATTGCGACTACGTTGGACTAAAAGCCTACAACAGTAAAACTAAAAGCCACGCGCCTCATTGGTGGAACTCAAGGCACGATGGTGATCAAGTGAAAATTTTCGCGGAGTCGCGCGATAATAGTGCTACAGTCCATTCATTGGAAACTGGCACCCTAACTTTTTGGTGTCTCTCTCACATAGCTGTAGATATCGTGAAAACAACAGTACATCCTGCATTGTGTTACCCATGCAATTACTCCTTGCCACATTTGAGGCCAGGAAAGTCCAAGAACAGGGAAATAGAAATTCAGCCAGGTTTTTCAAAATGAGGACTGGTATGCCATGGCAAATGTATGGAGAAGCAGATCCAAAACCCAGATTTTTGAGATTTATAGTGGGTTTTTGATACTCAATTCGGCCCAAATCCGTTTTTCAAAAACTAATGGGCCAGTTTCCGATGAATGGACTGTAGCTAGCTCTCAGGACAGTATCATTTTCAACTCAAGAGACCTGATTCGTCGCAGTAGTTAGTGATCATTCTCATTTTTGTTCAGAAGCCCTTTGGCGGAGTTTCAGACCTTGAGCTTCGTTCACCACCTCAGTTTGCTCTCTCGGTGGTTCACTTGATAACACTCGTAATGGCATGCTTTCAGCCTGTCAGACCTAGTTATTCCTCAAGCAGAAATAAACATGCAGACCTATTTTCGGTAGTATTGGACTTTAGTCGGAAAACTGTGGACACTAAGCGCTAGGCCTGGTCGGATAATACTAGCACTATAAGTAGCAGTATAGTGTTCGATTTGCAACGAGCATTATGCTAGCATTATTACACTACATATCCGCAAAAGTGGCATTTATATACTCAAAAAAGGCTTAGGGCGAAAATAATTTTTTTGGAGAAAAAATGATGTTTTGTAAAAAGGTTGTGTCCCGTGGATCGTGGACGCTCGAGTGCAGTGAAGTGGAACCAAACCAAAGAATATCTCGCTTGTTAGAAGAAATAGGAGTCATGGCAGGAAGGGTTTCAGCAGTCAGGGAAGTCAAAGGGCTTCCGGCAGAATATTCCCTGCTACTCCCGGCTCTATTCACAACGAAGAGTTTTTGAGCTGATCGAACGGATTCCATCTCCTACACTCAGGGATGGCGAAAATTCTTCGCTAGCTGCTGCTTGCGGAAAATGGTGAAGAAATCGTCTCCAGTTAGAGTCGTGATGGCGATAGCGAGAAGAACCTGGAAGACATCGACCCAGCCAATCGAAGTACGGAAAAACTAGCTGTTTCTGGGCCTCACAGAAAGGGAACACACGCAGCAGAGCTCATCCGTTTGCAGCAAGGTCACGAGGAAAAGGTCTTGAAGCGCAGTGTGAAAACTGTTTTGAATTGAAGTCCTTGGCGATGAAGTGCTACTGAATGCCAGGTGAATGAGCGAGCAGATCGAGAGGTCTCCTCACTGGACAGCTAGCTGCAAGGGATTGTATGGAGCAATAGCAGCATAAAATTAGCATTATTATCATGAGTTTCCAGCATTTTCCATGCCGTCTACGTAGAACCACGAAACGTACACAATACTGCCCAAACCAAGCCATCTTTCCCTTCTTACTACTGGTGAATTGTTGGCATTACAGAGGAACAGCAGAATTATAAGTAGCATTATGATACAGTTTTCCTGGCATTGCCATTAGTATTATCCCGCAAAATAACTAGCATTATCCACCCAGGCCTACTAGGCGCTCTGTGCGTTAGCCAGTTAATGCTGGACACGGCGACAATGTCCCCTCGGTGGTCACAATTCCAGCGTTGAACAGAGCTGGCGCCATTCTGAGCGGTAAGCGGAAGAGATGTTTTCCTTATTTTTTTAATATTTCCTTCCTTATTTTGAGGACATTAGTTTTGATAAAATTCTTCTGAGAACCTAGTCTTAGAGTTCAAGTGTCTTCAAAGTAAACTCCTATGCGATGGTATTGACTTATCTTGGAGAAAACTCCGAAACCTACACTAGAACTGCATAGTTTTTCGGGCGTTGGGTCGTTGACTTACTGCGTAGCGTCTGGGTATAAATAGCCGATGTGTCCAAATGCTCCAAAAATTGTTCAGCGAAAATATTTTTTTTACATTTCACGTTTGAAGCGAGGAGAAGATATGTCATTGTCCCAGAAAGTATCCAGATATTCATTTTCTTTCCATACACACGTTTGACAAATTCACCACTCTAGTACATGGTAGTGCAGTGTCTTGTAGCAAACTGCAATTACAAATCATCCTGCGCGTCATGCATGCTCTATGCACGTTTTTATCGAGTAAGAAAGTCGAATCAGACACACTGGTATTTTTTTGTTTCCAATAATTATTACCGTTGGATTTCGTTTCCCGTTTCATCTTTTCTCTAGATTTTGAAACTTTGAATTGTCTCTCCTTGTGAAATGGCAAGATGCCGAGGCAAGTGAAAATTCATGGTTGATGAAAGGTATACATGTAACATATAGTTGTTATGTTGCACCTTCAAGAAAAACTATGGAGGCCAAACATGGCTACATCACCTACCATGCATACTTGTCTCCGAGGCCGCCGATCGTGAGGATCGCCGAACAATTGGTTCGATGAGCTATCCAGGCAAGTATCTGAGCTGAAGGAGGAGGTACATTTACATGTAGCTTCTCTCAAAGAATCCGCCATTGCCGCGGCGAAAGCTCTTCAGCCATTCCAAGCTCACGGTGGAAAACATGTCACAAGCCGAGACTGCCATCCCTGGCTATGGCCCTCCAATGCGGTTGGAAAACACGGCTCAAGGACGTGGTGTTGCTGTCTTGGTGCGCAACGACCTAGTTGCTTTTGAGCTTCACATGGTTCCCTGTGACACCCAGGAGATCATATGGTTCACGTCTGCGATGTGGCCGAACAGCTGTTATTGCTGCCCTGTACAGCCCTGGTAGTGCTTCGGAGGATAACACTAGCCTCATGGAGTACCTTGATCGCACTCTGGATTCTTCCCGATGTCATGGTACCGAGTTGATCCTTGCTGGAGACTTCAAAGTTCACAACACCGACTGGCTTCATATTACAAAGTAAACACCTGCTGGCGAAGCAATGGAGGAGCTCACTGCTGCTCCTCACCTCACCCAACACGTGCTGGGGCGAACCAGGGGTAATAACACCCTGGACTTGGTCCTTTCCGACTTTGACACCCAGGTCGTGTCAACTCTGCACCGACCTCTCGGCCGATCTGACCATGCCAGTGTGATTGCCGACTTCCTGCGTGCCCCACCGCACCGGGAACCTCCAAACTCGAGGTCCGTGTGGCGCTATAATTTGGCTGACTGGCCATGCTTGAAGCACTTCTTCCGGCAAACAGACTGGTCCTCTATCATCACTGACGATATTGAACTGTCATGCGAGCGGCTGCGTGACTGGCAAGATCTCTGAGGGCATGGCAACGTTCATCCCGTCCAAGAGCCTCAAATTGCACAGAACCGACCAGAGTGCACCGAAGCCACCAACAGGAAACGAAATGAATGGAAGCGACTCCGTCTGCATCCAGCAGATGCACAACTCCAACTGGCTTATACCCAAGCACAGTCACTCCCTCAGCATGCCTTAAGAAAGCTGAGGATACCTATGCAGCAGCCATACTTCGAAAGCTCGCAGCAGGTGGTTTATCCAGTCGTGAATGGTGTTCCACTGTCAAGCGTGCCCGTGGGTTTGGGCGTAGCCATGACATTCCTACCCTCGAGGAGGAAAACGGCGCGGAGCTTACCACCAGTAAGGACAAAGCTTTGCCCGCTATTTCTCAGCGAAATGCAGCCTTGGTGATGACCTTGATGCCAGCGACCTCCCGTATGTCCGCCCGCGATCTGATGCTTGTCTGAGTGCCACCCACTTTAGGCCACGAACGGTATGCCATGAACTGAGGAAGATTGTCTCGTCCAGACCCACTGACTCGGACGAGTGTTGAAGCAGTGCTGTGAGGAACGGTGCTGGCCTGTGGCCCAGCCTTTCAGCAAAGCATTCCGCC